TCGGGCACTTTTGAAGAGATTTAGCGGAATTCTCCCGGCGACGACCGCCTACCGGGATAAATAAATCGAAGGATGAACGCGTCAAAAAAAAGAATAACGTTTAAAGCTATGTGGCAGTTTAAAAATTAAAAAGTTATTTTTCATAAGACGGTTCACATCGAGCTTTCTCAGTGTTTCGTGTAAAAATAATTTGAAAAATGAAGAAAAACATTTTTTGCTGCAATAGCAAGATTAGTCACTAAAAATGTGCTAAGCTTTGTTAGTGAAACAAAACAACTCGGCAGACTTAGCAAATGTTTCTTGCCGCGGTCACGTAATAATAAAACTTTTCTTTCCGCGAACATTCTCTTTTTTTCTTTCCTTTTATCACTCAACAAATACGCATTATTGTGCCGTTTATTCTATTTTACAAAATCGGAAGAACGGAAGCTTTTCGAAGTTTCAACGTGCGTTATCCGTTTCATCTTTCCGCCGCTGTGAGAGCGATCACGTTCGTCGCTAAAGTGCTTGTCGCGACGGACGACAGATGCTGAAGTCTAGCGAAACCTAACAATAGTACCGGCGCTCACTCTTTGTGTCTGATGTCTTGATTTCCGTCAGTGGCTTTCGTAAATCTTTCTCTGATTCTTCCCGACCGGATTGCATCGCCACGGCTTCGCGCGGATTTTAAGTGTTTCTCATGTCTGTTTCCGACGACGATGTCGGTCGATTTCGCCGGCTTAAAAGCACGGAAACGAGAACTCGCTTCATCGATACGGATTTAATTTTCGTAAAAGCGAACGCGCGCGCGCGCGAAAGAGCGCATGCGAGTGCGATTCGTCGAACCAGCCGGTTAAAACCGGCTGCGAAGGCGGAATATGAGGATCTACGGCCGGGATACGTGACCGGATACGACAACTCGAAGATAGAAAAATGATCTATCGGCCAAGTTCGTTGGAGGAGGTGCCGATAGGAAGACGGATGGCGCGGTAATGCTGTTTGCAGAGAGTTCCAATTCCTCTCTCCGTCAGATAATATAATTCCCAATCTCTCGCGCGTTGCGCTCTCGCGTCGCAAGTATCGCGGGCTTCGCGAATTAATGGCACGCGGAAAGAAATGTGTGTACGCATTAGCGACGAGACGGGTGGAAATATGATCGATGTATGTATATATCACCACGTCGAATAAAAAAAAGAGAAAGCAATGCACGTCAAATAGAATACAATGCAAATTTACAGGCAGAGGTAGCAAGTGACGACCGTCTCGACTTAATAAACGTTCGCGAGAATGAAATCTCGTGTGCGAGAAGATTAAAACTCAATTATATCCATAAATAACATATTTATCTATGTCAGTAATAAATCTTACTTGTTGCCTCTGTAATTTATAATCGACGTGAAAATCATCGGGCTCAAGAAATATCTGATAATTTAGAAAATGTAACAAAATTACGTATTGTGAAAGATTTTTGATATAAACTACAAATATGAGAGAAAACGTTCGTCTCCGTTCGACGAGGCTAACGCGGCGACGCGAGACCCGATAAGAATTGTTATCAGCTTATGTGTCTAGATAGGACGTGATAATGCAACCAATGCGCCACGTAGAAACGCTGTATCGCGTAACAAATATTTACGTAATTCGCAGCGAGTAAACTTTGTGGTAATCCTAATCGTTCTCCAAGACGACCGGGCAGATAGAAATCGTGCCTGTCGGCAAGTAGGAATTAATTTCTATGTGTTGCCAGCGTGGCGAAGCATTCGAATCTAGATAAAGGGACCCTCGTACGACCTTTAGGGTCCACCGCGATCCCTTTGTTAAACGGATTCCTCCCTGGAGTCGCACATATCACTTAAACCCTACAATTGTCAAGGAAGCCTGGCATGCCGTTAGTGCGCTCGTGTAAACTTATGTAACAATTTAACTTAGAATCGTGTCTCTCGCTCTCTCTCCCTTGGCTTACAAAGGAAAGTGGAACATGAATTAATTATCAAAGTAAAATTGTTTACCGTCACGTTGCGCGTCGCTTATTAAAGTATGATGCAACCAAACCGCTCATTGTGGTAATATATCGCAACGCTATAAATAAAACACGTCACGCGGCAATATCGGTCCATATTTACATGGTGTAAAATTTAAATAAACATCGCATGTCGCGCGCACATCGATATATCATTTATTTTATGTCACCGGTATTTTGCGCGACAATATGTTACGCTTTCTATTTAGCGATGCCATTTTACGAGATTTATTGGCGGCTCGGCGAGCGGTAGATAATTATATTAAAAAAAAAAATTCCTTTATCTCTGTGTGAAGTTTCAATACTCGTAAAAAAACCTTCATAATTTGTTTTTATTTATTTTTTTTCCTATAACACTTACGCACATATAAAAATTAGCGCAAACAAATTTAATTTCTATTTAATTTCTATTTTCAATTACTATGCTACATCTTTTATTTGAAAAAATAAAATATATATTGTGACTATCGGAGAGAGAGAGAGAGAGAGAGAAATAATAATTAAATATAAACTATAGTTTTTTTACTTTACGCCTTACAAAGCCGCGTTACATGAATTATTTACGTCCGTCTCCCCTAAAACGACTTTTATGATAAATGGACGTTTCGCCGAAGACCCTTGTCGATTGGATGTATGTATTTTGTCGTTATCCCGACAACTGGCTAATTGAAAGCGAGTGTTTCTTTCGAATTTATTTTTTCAATTTCATAGATCGTTCGAAAAAAAAGGCGTTTACGTTGAACCTCGGCCGACATACCTAAAGTTCCGCCGAACGAGAAATTCCGCGCTTCGAATCGCGCGCGTTTTACATAAGACGGGTACATATTTTAGCGACATCCGTTCTACGGGGAGTAGATGAAGAAGACTGAAAAGTCAGGGAGCGAAGAGGTGAGAGAAAGAGGTGAAGGATGGGCGCGATGTCGCGTTGAAGACCAAAAGGGAGAGGATCTCCTCTCACATCGGGAAGAATGCCAGAGTTATTTTAGGCCTTCATCCTCCCTTCCCGTTCCTTACGTTTACGTGACGTAACGAAATAATGAAGAAGGGCGCCATTCGCAGCGACCAACCCCCTTTTCGATGACGAGAAAAAAAAATTTTTCTCTATCTCTTTCTCTCTCTCTTTCTTTACAGTCTCTGTTCTCCGTCCTCTTTTTACGTCTCTTTTTTGTTTTATTTCCTTTTATGATTCCTGAAAGAATACCGGAGCACACGGTAAAGGGAAGACTTTACGATGATGAAGAGCGTCGTGACATTTTCCGCGCATAAATACTTTTTCCATTAGAAGGGGACATAGAGTAGAAACGTGGGCCCTTGTTCTAAAGGAGCTCGGCTCTCTTTGTTCTCGTAAACAGCCTTTTTAAGGCCGCGCTTATGAAAAAGTTACAGATTATCCAGCGACGACGTCACAAGCGGACCCACGCGCGTTTTCGAGCGCTCTCCCGAGGCTAAGGACGAGATATAATTAGCAGGAACGGATCTCGGCGCTGTGTGTTTATATTTTCAAGAACTCTTATCTGTTTCGTATAATCAAGACGTTTTGCGAGAGAAAACTCTTGACTCGGCGCGCAAGAGGAAAGCTTTAAAAGCGTAATGTTTCTTATATTATCTCTCGAATATTATGCGCTACTCTCCCCCCGTTCCTTTCCACTCGATCTTTTCGCGAAGGAAGCGCACTTGGATCGGATCTCGCGGGACGGTTTTTTCATTAAAGCCAAGAAGTATCTCATTCTCGGCTTTCGCAAACAATGAAATTATGGAAAAAAAAGAAGCGAACTGCAAACGTGGCACGGGATAAACCTTAAATTACATTTTCTAATTTTTTGTTTTCCGTTGTGTGAATCGAGACGGGTAGCGGGAGAGACAAAAGTTTAAAGTCAACGATTACTTAAGACTACGCGTCGCAACAAAAAACATCCAAACGCAGAAACTTTTCTTAATAAGTGCATATAAAATATTATCATTTTTCACAAACAAAACTGCAATCAGAATCCTCTTAACTTAATTAAGACGTTTTATTCCCCGTTACGGAGCATAGGCATTGTCGCCTGGAATTAATTGTGACAAACTTGGCTCGTAACTCGTATTTTGGACAATTTAGGCTGAAATTCGCCCGAAGAGTTAGTCGAATAAATCGCAGTCGCGCATTCTACGCAACCGTAGCAGTAGCAACGTCGTCCTAAATGTATCAGCGAGGGCATTTAACAGGCGCGATGTGTTAAGTAACAATTATCGTGCACAAAAGCGACGTCGGCGCGCGACGTCGCGGCTTCGCCCGACACAGATAACGCAAGAAATTCTCGTTACACAGGGGTTAACGTTAAATCGGGCGTTGCGCTGCAACCGCCTCTTGAATATGTTAATTAACCTTGAAACGGTATCGCGAAGTTCTGAACGCGATGGATATAAACTACGAGCAAACGTTGTAAACAAAACATTTTAACAGATCGCAGCGACGGGCAGCGAGATTTACCCGTGTAATGGACGAATTCTCGTAACCCCCCACCCCCTGTTATCAGTGCGAAATGGGCAATCGCAACGTAGACGACCTACTTTCAAGTTGGTAATTATTCAGCGGCACACGTGCAAACATCATCGCGGTTTGTTAGTGTAATTAACAATTTACTTTAATGAGATATAGAGGGAGCGAGAGAGATCCGCTGAGAATTTTCATATTTTCTGAAAGAACGGTTTTGTGATAATTGTTTATCTTCGTTGATTCGGTAATTGCAATAACAATCTAAAATTTAAAATTAGCTCTAGAGCGATAATGAATTTATTGCAAATGATCTTCGCGGAGAGATACGTAAGATTCCATCTCTTTGATATTCTATCAACGTGGCCGTGTCGGATATTCGATGCAAAATGCGAGCACAGTTAAGTCGCGGATTGTTGACAAAAAAACGACAACACGCCGAGGGCAATCTTATTTATGGATTTTTGTCAAATCGCGCGTTCGAAAGAGAAAATAACAGCTTATAGAAAACAAAAAAGAAAAACTTACGTGTTTTCCTTTTGGTCGCCGTTGGCCGAGTGCGACGGAGACGGCTGCGCCTGCTGTTTGGAGTAGGGATGGTGATGCACCACGTTGTTATTGTTGTTGTTGTTGTTATGCATGTGCACCTTGTTGGCGTTGCTGTCGGTGGGCGAGCCTGGCGAGATTTTGCCCGCCAGAGCGTTCAGCGACTGTAGCATTTTCATGGGAGTTCGCTTGGCGACCGGCTGTCGGTGCCTCCTGCGCTCGGCCTCGTTTAACTTTGACGAAGACAGGATTGTTGTACGCTTGCGGTTTGAAGGTGTCAACCCTCAAACTCTACTTGTGCGTGCGTCAAAATGGAGCTATATACTTTCGGGGATTTTCTATCCCGGATCGAAACGCGCGAACAACACACAAGTACACTCTCGGCCAGCGATTCACGAACTGCGTTCGTGTGTGCGATACGGCTCCCGAGATCTCAGCGCGAGAAGCACACGCTCATCACGTGAGTTGCGCGAATCGACAACACGAGGCGCGCGGCCGAATGACTGCTGGTCCCGCCGGTGTTTCCGACTACTTTCTCGTTCGGCGACTCAGCGCTCGCTAGGTGATCGATCCGATCGTCCCTTTCGTGTACTTTAGAACGTCAGATGAATACTTGAGGTATATCCTTCGAGATCCGTTGCGACGCGATCCTCGTCTCGAACGCGAAATACCCTGTGGACAAGCATCGGCTGATAAGAGTTTTATCTATTTTGTTTGCGAAATCATATCGATCGTCTGATTATGTCGGAGCGCACACGTGTCGGTAAGTTTAAATTTACATTTTGATTCGAGTTTTTTTTCGAATTTAAAATCCGACATAAAAACAATCCGCTGTCTACGAATCGCACGGATTGCAGACAAATAAGTTAATCGCATAAAATATATCTTGTGTTTATTTTTTTAATATTTTTAAAAATCATATTTTTCAGGTATTTGTATTATTGTGCAATTTAAATGTTACTCACGAAAACTTATTAATATATATGAAATTCGAATCAAAGCAAAGTAAGTAAGTTTCTCCATAGTTTCAAAAGTAAACAATGACAATAACAATTAAGTTATTTATTCGTAAACGTATCTGCTTGGTTATAGTTCTCATAATAATAACAGTAATAATTTCACAACTCGTCGACTCCAAACAGCACGTTCGGCATTGTAATTTTGTCCGCGCGGACGCAAAGAAAACGCGACGGAAACGCGCGCGCGGAGACGAGCGCCGACTCGAAAACAAGGGGATGACACCGCGAGGGAAAACTGCCTGTGAGAGGGCGCGCGCTGAGGCCTCTTACGAGAAACTGCTTTACAACGAGTCAATTAAAAGTTTAAGTTTAATTAGAAACTCGGCTGTCGTGCGCGCGTGCGAGTGGGAGAGGAAGGTTTAGTATCGTCCACCTTCCTTCCCTTCCGCTTCCTTCCTCTCGCTTTCTCGGCTCGGTGCCTCACTCGCGCTTCTTCTCCCCATCTGCGTAGCTACTGAAGTTACCGAGGCACACACGAGTTTCCCCCTTTGTTTCGCACGCGCGCGTCTCGTAACGCGCGGGTCAAGTCTTGAGAGAGAAACTCGGAAAAGCGAAGGTGGGCGGCGGGAGGAGTTATACGCGCGCGATGGGAAGAAACTGATGGAGCTCCCGCGAAACGATACAGGGAGAATCCGTCGCCTGGGAATTCGAATTAGTTTCCGACTCGCGACGGGGGGAGAAGCGCGAGCGATTTTCCGTTGCAACAGACGAGACGCGTCTTAAACTCCGACGGAAGAGCTTCGCGAGGCGAAGAAGCCAGAGAGAAAGAACGAACGGAATGTAAAAATCTTTCGTCGTGTTTTTGTTACGTAAAAGCGTTCCTCCCGTATTTCATACAATTCTATAATTAACTTTTGCAAATTTAGGTCGAAAAGGATGGTAAGACCAAATATAATTCCGTAGTTCGTCTGTATATAATGAATCGCAACTCAAGAAGGATGGAGTTTGTTTCAATTCGGATCATCTAAAATATGACTTTAAAGTAATCATTTGTTATTTTCGAATTCTCTTAAAAACACCCAATTACGTTAATTCTGAAGCTTATTTTATCAGTTCTAGTTTATTAACTTATAAACACAGTTTTGGCTGAGGAGGAATTTAAAATTGCTTTTGAAATTAGAACGGACAAAAATATCGAAAATATAGAGAACATTTCTTACAACAAAAAATTATCTTAATCTCTTTAATTGTGTACTATCAATTCGAAAATATAAGTCTAACCTGTGCGCGGTTATAAGATAAACTTATTTGTTATCATAGTCACATTTCCTGATTGAGTTCACCGAAGAGTTTATCAGCGATTAACGAAAGCAACACAAGCCGAGTGTTGAAATAATTCGAGGTGAGTCCGTAGGTTTTACGAAGACTGTATAAAATCAAGCGAGAATTAAGTGCGTCGAACCACTGCGCAACATAAAAGGGAGGAAAGACGAGCCGGGCGTAAGAACTCGCTGCGAAGGGATTTTCAGTTTCCTACGGAGTAGATTTAGGGAGTCCGAGGATGAAAAAGACAAGAGTAGGTGGCAGAAGCGCGCCGTATTCAAGGGAGAAGAGGCGAGGATGGGACTAGAATTACCGGAAGTATAGCAGTTGTCAAATGTCAAAGAGATGGCACATAATTTAACACACGAGGCGGAAGTTGGCACAAAGCGCGCAAGGGACGAACAGGAAAAATAGAAGAGAACGGAATACCGCTCGCGGCTTCAGAGAGAAGCGAAAGAGGAGCGAAAGAGAACAAAAAAAAGTGAGAATGGTTTGAGGGAGGGAGAGGGAGAGAGAGAGAACGAGGCAAGTGGGAGAGGAGAACGGCAGAAACTGTATCTTGATATGCCACCTAAGCCTTTTGTCCCGCGTACATTTTTGCCTGTCTGGCTCTCTCCTCAATTTTCCTCTCACCTGTTCCTCTCACTTTTCTCTCGCGCCCTCGACGCCCTTTGTCGCCGTCCACTCGACGCGCTAAAGCGTCAAATTAAAAACTCGAGCCACCCTGGAAACGACGATTAGTCACTCCCGCGGCGGCGATTGCCGTTATCGCTCCTTATGCTCGTCGTCGCAATTTTCGTAGCGCGTTTCTTTTCGCCAACGATCGTGGAGTTTTTTCTCGAGACTTGCGTACCTTTCTGCGATACTTTTTTTTCTTTCTCTCTCTTCCTCAGTATCACCTGGTCTTGAAAAGAGAGGCACTCAAGACACCTCCTCGGAGTTGCAGAATGACGCGCGATTCGCGATATCGCTGCGATCTGAGCGGCGCGACGATCTCGCCGACGGCACTTGAGCACTAAGACTAGCGGCGGAACGACGACGAGCGCAGTTGCCGGCCATCGTATCTCCGGATAAGCCTTATCGGTAACCAAAGACCCCACCTTTCGTCCGTGGATTGCATCCCTCGCGCGCCTTTTTTTTCTTTTTTACGACACTCGCGTGTCTTTTTTCGCTACGTCTGCGAGACGAACTGGCGCGCTGTTCGCGCGTGCCACGCGTTTCTTTTATTATTTACTTCTTTTTCTTTTTTTTTATCCTAACGTCACACACCGTCAAGAGACACGTCCTTTTGAGTCACCACTTTGTCCCCGGGTCGTCAACGAAGTGGTTTCTGAAGTGAGCGCGTAATCGTTCATGCGCGATCCAGACGACGCGTCATGACGACAGTTCGTGACGTTTCGGATAAAACGAAGCCGCGTTAAGCAGCGCGTTTCTCACAAGGTCCCACGATGACGATCATTTCCTTGCCGCGATATCCATGTGGAATGAGGAGAGCCGCGTCGATTTTACGACGTCGCCACATCGGTCGTCATCTGCAAACAACGTTCAACCTGTTAAGGATTTATTTCCGCGTCTCGCAAACACAAACGTCGTGGTTGAAGTCGTTCGCGCGAAACTTGTGAAGTAACTTTTGGCGATATGCGCAACTGGAGATGATTAAGAATCAACGGAACAGGATAAAAAAGTTTATAGTTTTATTATCCTCTTTCCTATTTAATTAAAACAATAAATTAAGTCAATTAATGCGCCTAACGAATCAGTTGAAATTATTGTAAAACAAATAAAATTCGATAAACATCTTGCTCACATTTGTACGTGTGCAAACGAGTGTCGTCGCGACGCACAAACAACCGGCCGTCCCAAAAAGCGCATCGTCGACGCGCGAGTTAAAAAGCGAAAGAAAGTGTTCGTCAATATTTTCTCACTACACCGAGGCGGCGCGCGGCGTGGCAGACACGTCGAGCGTCGTTCTCCCGGAGATTAGATAAGACTTGGAACGCTCGGCTGGCAGTGACTCTGCACACGAAGCTGCTGCCCCTCGACGAGACGCTGTCGAGCGCGGTGCATTCGTGGGTGCAACGGCACGTGAAATATTTGACGTTTATTGCATAAGTAAGTGCCTGACAATGTGCGCGTCAAGCCGCTAAAAGCGGCACGTGGAAATATTCAGCGGATGTACGGCGTCGCGCAGAGCCGCGTGTAGTTATAAATTACGACATTATTGCCGTTTGATGGCCGAGCGACGGACGCGCTCGTTCGGAATTGGAAGACTTCCGTAATCCGGAACGACCTCGGCGTAAATTTTTAAACCGTCGTTCGAGGCTATTCTGCAATGCAGTCACACACACGTACACATTGTACTTGATAACGCACGCTGACTAACGCCATTGTTGATCATCGCTCGAGCTGACATTTATAACGTTAGACTCTATTACGAGACCGTGTGTATTTTTATGTGAATGTGTGTGAACGTGTTGCCAATTTACTATATTTAAAATTAACTAAGTAATTTCCCTCTTGACCCGTTTTTGCGACATCGATACCGCGGCATTTGAGAAATGCATCAATTTTCGAGATTGTTTCAGAATCGCGGATTTCGAGTGAGCGCGATGCACTTTTGTATATTTTATCACTTCATTGCGTCATTTGACAAGTAAATAATAACAGATCGATGAATAATATCAGCGTACCGTAGATACGCGCAACTGTTGAAACACGCGTTACAACGGGGGCATTATTCAATATTGCAATTAAAAATTCGTTTTCCCCGAACATGATTGATATTACGCTCGCGTATCTGATGTATTATATTTTCGCTCTAAAATTACGTTACAAAGAGGAATTGATAACGAAACTGTTGCCGAGCCGATAAACGCAGGCAGATGCGAGTAAATATTTAACCGTACAATATTTTCACCAAGAGAGAAGCCTTCTACGGGATAAAAGTTACTGCAGTGAAACGGCTGTTATATTCTGGCCGCGCTGCGCGCGCGAGCTTCTGAAACTCGTTTCAAAATTTGTTCGGAAAGTAAAATAAAGCTTTATAATTCAGCAACGAGAAAGTTTTTAAATCTTTGCTTCAGTTAGGTGGAACGATTTCAGTAGTTTCTTCGTGCAATAATATTTGCGATTAATTGCTTCTTCGGAATATAACGTCGAACGAACAGCAGTGATAACAATCGACAGCAGGCGACGAAGTTGAATAGTGTGTTAATGAAGCATTGAAATTCCGTAATTCGAAAAGTGCGTTAAAGAAGTAGTATATAGTTAACTCTAGCTCGCGCGGTGTCGGATATCAAGAAGAATATCCAAAGATATCGATGTAACTCTGTAATAAGATAAGTGTTTCTATGAACAGGACATTTATTCAAGAAATAATTATTGGATGTGTACACGGAAAAAACAGTTTTGCTATTATATGGCCGGCAAGAAAAATTTGCTAAGTTTCCTGAAGTTTTTGTTTCATCAACAAAACGTTTGTTGTGCCAAAAAAACAAAAAATAGACTTAGCAAATTTGACTTGTTGGTCATATGATAACTAATTTCTTGCTATTCTAGCAAATATTTTTTCTGTACATGTAATTACAATATACCTCTATTATAATTAAATAATTTACAAAATATATCGTAAAAAATACTTGAAACATCGAGAATTGTTGTGTTTAATGTTTGCACATCTAATAATTATGTTTTAAATGTTCTCTGTCACAGGGCCATTTATCTTACAACATTAAAGTCAATGTAATGCTACGCATGTTACGCGAAAGGACGTTGAAATTATATTACGGACGATCACGCGCGCGATTGAGAATTACAATATTCCACATAAACGTGGATACGCGCGTTTGTAGCAACGGTAGGCGTAAATAACTGGCAGGTATAAGCAGGTTTGTGCGCGAGGTGTGTGCCTAGTTCTCGAGCGAAATAACAATGCAGACGGCAGGATACTATCGTTATTGCATAGCTAAGCAACCACCACTTGTTTGCTAGGGCGGAACAGCCCCGTTTGCAAACCGACAAAGAGGTATTGTTCTTTCGAGGGATCTCTCCAGCACACACGCGCTTGGTTCCTACTATTTACACGGCCTAACTCAACATTATATTCCAAAGTTCGCGGCGCCTCTCTCTTTCTCTCCCTCTTTCCGTGAATGACGTGTTTCGGGAAAGTCGTAGCTCGCAAGAGGATCGCGCACACCTTCTCTAATACGATTTATCTAATCTATTTATCTTAAGACCCGGCGCAACAAACGACGTTCGCCGACCCAATTATATCCGCGAACGTTGCCGCGCGCGCATTGTGCAGGTTCGCAGTTAATTTTTCGCCAGACGTGAGCCATTTGCGATTACAATCGAGAAACATTAAGGCGAGAATTTCCAGAATGGGAATTTCCCATTTCTTTTAATTCTAGTATTTATTTCGGAACAGTATTACGCATTTTCACGAGGAAGAACCATTGTAATTACGTTAAAAACGGAATTTAATTTGCGTACTGAGATCAGATCGAAATCTGAGATACTGTCGTTTAATATGAGGAAACATATCGATTCTATAATAATCGAAAAAACTTGACGTCCGGTGGAAATATTTTTCTCATAATTCAGGCACAAGTGCCGTGTCGTCGTTCTCCCGATAACCGGAGTCTGACGAGTGTAGAGAAAATGACGATGAAAACTCGAGTGCAAGAACTCGTGAAAACTTTCCGCGAAGCGGTCCTAAAGTCCAGCGAGGATCCGGATAACTTATCGTTCTCACAGCTGGATCTCAAACAACAAATCTCTCGAGGGATGGACAGGGGTTTTATCTAGCAACTGAGGAGACGGGACTCATTCGCGAGCTTCCTGTGAAAGCGAGAGACGTTCCGAAAATTGTTCGCGAAATGTATGACGGTTCAACGAACGTTCGCGATGACTCGCGACTGATCGAGACGACGAGTTTGCTCGATATCGGTGGAGAATAAAAACGCTCTCGCGATTTTTCATCGCGAATTAAAATACCCGCTATTTTATTCCCGATCTGATACGCACACATTGGTAAATCTGTCCATTAGCAAGTTTGCAAACTGTTTTATTAATTTATGTAAAATGATATAAAAATAATGTAATGCGAGTACGACACTCGTTGCGAAATCGACTCTTCGCCACAATGGTCAATACAGCCGGCGCGATTGTTAGAACGATGATAAAATTACATTTGCATGACCATACATTTATTTCTGGAATATTGCGCCTCGTTGTAACAGATTTTGTTTTGCGCGCAGCGATAGCGCGCATTCATTTTTCCTCGCTGCGTGGTGCAAAATTGCGCTCATCGCACTTCATTTGGTAAACGCGACTCGGTTACAAATTTCCCTCGCGATCGGAAAATCTTTTCTGTGTGTCGTTTAATACATTAAATACAAATACTCATTATGCAGCTCGCATTTACAGGGGCGAAGCGCCGCGCATGAATATCGTATATTTTGCGAATGCAAAAGTTACAAACGTGTGAATTCCAATGCGCGCGCGCACGGAAAGATACTCTCGCCCGATAGAAATACGGGCACTGTACGAATGCAGAGTGTGAAGATGAAAAGTTACAAGAATGTTATTACCGCCGTGAATTGCCAAAGGCAGGTTGCGTTTTCCAACCCGTCGGAAATGTTCCCTTGCAATTCGCAGCTCGCGGCGGCGCACACTTTTTGCTCCTCAAAACCTGCCCCATTTTCGACGTCGAAAACGCGATGCGAAATCTCATCGAGATGCGCGCGTATAATGCCACGTAAAACTAAATGTATATCTACGCGGACGGGATAAAACAAAATTTTTGGACTTTGAAAAGAATATTGATAAATTAATAGAGTATCTTTAGGCTCTTGAAGTTTTCCAAACTATAAATATTGATAAATCATAACCAGAGAGAAACTCAATGTAATAATAGAACGTGTGTAACGGCAGAGAACAGTTCTCGATAACATGTGAATGTGTTGCATTGTTTCTGAATGCCAGTCGAAATCAAATGTTTTATACGGCGTCGGGAAAGAGTACGCAATATTGTAAAATTAAAACAACAATAAGGGGAGGGATCTAAAATATCTCAAGAGAGAATATATTCTAACGAGAAAAAACCGGGATTAAAAGCCAGATTAAATTTTTACGCGGGTTACACCGTAACGGCAAAAAAATAATGAATTTCCGGTCGGGGTCGTGCAACTCTTTTTTCCTCATTGTTAATTAAACTAGTATTTAAAAATTATTATGATCAGTTCTTGAACGGTGATTAAACCATGTGTCACTCCATTAATATACGATTTCATACGTGTTCCTATAAATTGCAACGAGTAATTAAACATACATCTCCACGTCACAATTTATACTTGCTAATTCACGCTCGCTAATTATGAGAGCAATAATTTACGATCAAATTTAATTATTATGTAATTGTTGCATAAGATTATTATTCGCACGGCAATTATAAGCCATAAATTACTTTAACTTGGCGTAATTTTGCGTCGTTTTACGAACTCGGAGAATGATCCGATCTGCGAAATCGCGC